ATAAAAACCAAAAACAAAGTAAGGACAGAGGTCGGAAAATGATTTCAGAACCACTGATATATAATGCATAGAATACAATTAAAAAAAAAAAAAAAAAAAAAAAAAAAAAAAAAAAAAAAAAAAAAAAAAAAAAAAAAAAAAAACAATACAATAGTACATGACTTGTGATGCAAAGCAGATGTTACAGATTTTACAAATCCGTTCAAGCAGCGATGTTATTATTGTTACTCACTTTACTTTCCCCTAATTCTCAAAATATCGTATTCCTACTCTATCAATATCATTTCTATTGACTGCTCATGATACTTGAACCTTGTCCTTGTTCCATACCTGCAACATGATCGCAAACATACCGCCCTAGTCATTTGCGACAAACAGAATCTACAGGTGAAGAGAGGCCGACTTTTGACTTCTCTTGCACTAACAAAGTGTGCTAACATTCTGACCAGCCATCACCAGTGCACGGACACACATTAAATAAATCTTATATTGTTAAAAGTCTAAGCATTGCATAAAAATTTTAATTTACACTCATTCAATTTGTTAAAATAATGTAATGACGAGTTAATTTTTAAATTTAAAATTTGAAAAGAGAAAATATGATTGTTGAAGTCAGCTGATCTAAATCCCCCTCCCCTTGTCAACAATTGTCAAACAGTTCCAAACATTCCCCCCCCCCCATTTTGTTGACATAATTAATGGACGACCCTTTATGGGAGTTATTTTGTTAACTAGTTACGCCACAAAGCAATATTGTTGGATCAATGTGCCTCTGCCATGTTAGCCTACTACTAATTAGGCGTCATAAGCAACTACACTTTGGAAAGGAACAATAATTCATGCTGGTTTGTCGGACTTCCTTTTTTACGTTCTCACTTCCCCTGCTGTCAAAACTTTGCTACGCCACAGTTATACGACTATAAATTATAAATTAATTTGATTGAAGTAACAGAATATTTCTGATATATAAGCTATGTTATGACTTATGACTGATGTCTATAACTTAAGGTGAGCACTTAGAAAAGAGACTGTGCCTTTAAATAGCAACAGAGCCTAAAAGTGACTGGCACACAAACATGTTGATGGCCAACGAATTTTACTAAAAAGCAAAATATTGTCAAACATTCTCAGCAGACACCTTTTAAAAAAAATTATTCTTCTGCGTCCAGTGAATGTGCTTGAAAATCTTCCGGCGACTCCTCGCGAATTATGAGCAATGAATTGCTGATTGCCCAATTAGGCCAATCTAATTAATGCAGCATTTCCTAAACTTTTAAGTGTGACGGACCGTTAAACACGTTTCGAAATTGCATCAGGGACCGGTGCCAGATTTATTAAATACCGTATATATACAGTGGCGTAGCGAGGATGCTTGGCGCCCGGGGACAAAATTCGCGCCCGGGGACAAGATCCATTTTTAGCGCCCCTTTTTCTTTTTTTCAACTCTCAAACCCATTATTTTCATCAATAAAATAATATCAACGCACATTTTGGCGCCCCTAACTAGCTGGCGCCCGGGGACATCTGGCGCCCGGGGACATCTGCCCCTCCTGCCCCCACCACGCTACGCCTCTGTATATATAAATAAAATATATGTATACATTTTTTTAAAACCATAAATCAATGTTGTGCGGACCACCATTTGGGAAACTCTGGTCTAAGTCTAAGTCTAATGCTGACAATCAAATTATTATTTATTTAAAATTATTTGTTTGTGAATTTAAGTTCAAAATTTGACATTACCGATTTACAAAAGGAGGGGGGGGGGAGGGTAAATGTAAAGGACGAATGCCACTATTTTATCGATGGCCGCGACTAATGCCCTAAATCGACCCCTCAACCTAACCTAAACCCTAATACTAATTCACTGCAACTATAATAAACAAGCAAATGACGCTGTGGCCTTCGTGCTTTACATTAGCCTATAAATCCAACCCTCCCCCCCCCCTCACACCACCCAAAAAAACACTGATTTTTTCACCATACAGTTTGAGAACCCCTGGAGACTGGAATAAACGGATAATTTTGCGCAATCTTTGGAGTTCGCTCTGGGGGTTATTCTTATGATATGAATGTAAATAACACTATGAGGGTAATTTTCTGTCCCCGAGACGCCGAAGAGTGCCGTGTGTCTGCTAGACGCGGTCTAACCAATGAAAATCTTGTGCATTCTTACTACGCTGTGTAACAACATTCCTACACACGAGACGTGGGAGTAAGCTACACCAGTGTCTCGTCTTATCGCCGAGACGGGCTTAGGTAAAATAGGCAAGTTATAAGTCATAGTCAGCCTACCATTTCATGTGCATATATTTAAGGTAATTCATTGTGTTAAATTGTAATAAGACAGCAGTAGTGCCAGTCCGGATACATTCTTTTGTGTCATGTCAAGACAGTCTTCTACTTCTGCTATTATTATACCTGCGTAACCTGAGCATTGGCCATACCCGCGCTCCAGTACTAACTGACCATTGGTGTATGATATGAGACGCTGTGTTTGTAATGAGAACACCAGGGGTGCTTTAGCATTGGTCAGTTTGTGTTCACGTGTCACGTATTTTTATGTCTGCAATGCTTTCAATCAACTGACTTGGGTACTGCCACGCCTACAGTCATGTCCTGCTGAGCTGAATTGACAATCTATACCCTATACTATAGGCCTGCTATACAAATCAATATCATAGTCAATAGAATAGGCCTACTCAGTTGACGATAGTCTACTCACCCAGTATTCCACAGTTAGCCATCGCCTGTATTATAAGTATAAGTAAAGGCATAGATGACATGCTAACATCATGAACAACTAGTAACAAGCGTACTTTTGAAAACTGTTGTTTTTTTTTGTTGTATTTTTAAATTTTGTGGGGGGGGGGGGGGGGAAGTTTTGAAGGGATACAACAGTTATGAAATTGTTAAGCCTTGTTCCAAACCAAATTAAGATGTCAGCACAATTTTTTTTTTCAACTAGCCTACTTGCTGTGTAATACAGAATTTCTAGTTGTTAACTATGCCATAGCCATAGCACACATCTGCATTGGGTGTGTCTATTATTGTATGACCTTTGACCTACAACCAGCAGCATGTTTAAAAATAAATAAGGCCTATGACTATAAAGCCATGGATAGGTTTAACATAGACATAATATATTTATAACAAACCCAGACCCTGTAGGCTTCTGCTTTTTATCTAAGCGCTAAAAAAGAGTTGCAATACTACTACTAAATACTTCCTAAAAATCATAGCAGTAATTTCCCTTTAAATTTCAATTATTCCTACTGTGTTCCTAATTATAATGACGGAGAGAGTCAGTGTTTCTCAAATTGTAACAACTTAGCCTTGTCTCTTTTAATAGAATGGTTACACTCTGACAGCACTACACCATAGTATTGCATTATACAAATATAATTCTGATCATAATAGACATGTACAAATATAGATCTGATCACAGTAGACATGTACAAATTTAGATCTGATCACAATAGACATGTACGAATTTAGATCTGATCACAATAGACATGTACAAATAGATCTGATCACAATAGACATGTATAAATATAGATCTGATCACAATAGACATGTACAAATATAGATCTGATCTCAATAAACATGTACAAATTTATATCTGATCACAAAAGACACGTACAAATTTATATCTGATCACAATAGACATGTAAACATTTAGATCTGATCTCAATAGACATGTACAAATTTAGATCTGATCTCAACAGACATGTACAAATTTAGATCTGATCACAATAGACATGTAAAAATTTAGATCTGATCTCAATAGACATGTACAAATTTAGATCTGATCACAATAGACATGTACAAATTTAGATCTGATCTCAACAGACATGTACAAATTTAGATCTCATCACAATAGACATGTAAAAATTTAGATCTGATCTCAATAGACATGTACAAATTTAGATCTGATCTCAATAGACATGTACAAATTTATATTTGATCACAAAAGACATGTACAAATATAGATCTGATCACAATAGACATGTACAAATTTAGATCTGATCACAATAGACATGTACAAATTTAGATCTGATCACAAAAGACATGTACAAATTTAGATCTGATCACAATAGACATGTAAAAAATTTAGATCTGATCACAATAGACGTGTGCAAATTTAGATCTGATCACAATAGACATGTACAAATTTAGATCTGATCTCAACAGACATGTACAAATTTAGATCTGATCACAATAGACATGTAAAAATTTAGATCTGATCTCAATAGACATGTACAAATTTAGATCTGATCACAATAGACATGTACAAATTTAGATCTGATCACAATAGACATGTACAAATTTAGATCTGATCACAATAGACATGTACAAATTTAGATCTGATCACAAAAGACATGTACAAATTTAGATCTGATCACAATAGACATGTAAAAAATTTAGATCTGATCACAATAGACGTGTGCAAATTTAGATCTGATCACAATAGACATGTACAAATTTAGATCTGATCTCAACAGACATGTACAAATTTAGATCTGATCACAATAGACATGTAAAAATTTAGATCTGATCTCAATAGACATGTAAAAATTTAGATCTGATCTCAATAGACATGTACAAACCTATATATGATCTCAATAGACGTGTACAATTTAGATCTGATCTCAATAGACATGTACAAATATAGAGCTGATTCCAATAGACATGTACAAATTTGGATCTGATCACAATAGACGTGTACAAATAACAGTAAGAGTTGGGGAGGTGGTGGATTTGCAAACACCATTAAAATCCACCCCCCTACAAAATCAACAAACACCTGGGCTGACTTTGTACAGATGTATCAGTTGACTGTCTGATTAATTCCCTTACTGGGTCTAATGCTGGCTAGTTGACTGTCTGATTAATTCCCTTACTGGGCCTAATGCTGGCTAGTTGACTGTCTGATTAATTCCCTTACTGGGCCTAATGCTGGCTAGTTGACTGTCTGATTAATTTCCTTACTGGGCCTAATGCTGGCTAGTTGACTGTCTGATTAATTCCCTTACTGGGCCTAATACTGGCTAGTTGACTGTCTGATTAATTCCCTTACTGGGCCTAATGCTGGCTAGTTGACTGTCTGATTAATTCCCTTACTGGGCCTAATGCTGACTAGTTGACTGTCTGATTAATTCCCTTACTGGGCCTAATGCTGGCTAGTTGACTGTCTGATTAATTCCCTTACTGGGCCTAATGCTGGCTAGTTGACTGTCTGATTAATTCCCTTACTGGGCCTAATGCTGGCTAGTTGACTGTCTGATTAATTCCCTTACTGGGCCTAATGCTGGCTAATTGACTGGCAAGTTGAGGTTGTTTTTTTTTAATGTGATAATTTACTTTGTACAACTACATGTAAATATCTAAATTTTATTTGCACACTTACTTAACATGCCTTCTATTTAAACATCATAAAGACAAACATTTCTAACAACATAAATACACATGTCTAAATTCATAAAGACACACATTTCTAAACACAAAGAGACCCACAGAATATCATAATTCATACTTGCTATAGTTTACACACAACAGATTTAATTGTCAATACCATTTTTATATTTTATAACAGAGAACCAGTTGCTCTGGATAGTTGTTCAGATAAATTAAACTAACAGCTGGTAATCAATTTATTACAGAGCATTGTGGTGCTTTTCTTGTTTAAAAAATATGAGTTTATATGAGAGGAATGTGATGATTTTATCCTTAGATCTTGTTCTACATTCAGTTTGTACGGCTTATTTCATTTTTTAAAATGAAAACTTGTGTTGTCAGCCTACCCATAAGCTTGCTTCACACAGTATTAGAAATGCTATCACTTTTTCAACTTAAACCCAGAGGAAAACATAAAAATAAAAAACCTAGATTTTCAATATTTTCACTTTATTTTAGCCTCTGTTTTCTGTCAACACGGTTTGCATTTTGCTCCTCCTCAATCTGTTCAGCTCCTTGTTTGACAACATTTAAGGAGCTTGATCCGTCTTCAGCGCATCATACAGTTTTGTTGATGATTGGAGCCTTGATATCTCTTGTGCTGTCCAGTTGGTGGTGCCCCCACCCCTTGTGCCAATGCACCATTTGGGCCTGGGTCTATTCTCTCCACACGGCCAAGCCAACAAAGATGCCTTAATCTTAGAGTGGAGAACACTGTTACACATATTGCTACATTCCAGGATCTCAGTTTTGTCCCCTTGTACTGCAATCAGTTCTGTGGAATGCTCAGCAGACATCTAAGGTTGAAGCTTCTGCTTGTGGCTTGAATAGCTGGTCTTACTGATGGCATACAACTTTTGCTAATGCCCCTATACCATAAATTAAATATTCAGCTATATTTACTATTTGTATAGGTTCATTGAGTCAGCTCCCCCCCCCCCGCCCCTCCTTTTCCAAGATCTTTTGTTTTTAATTCATTGAATAGCCAGGAGAAGGGGAAAAGTAAAGAAAATATCCCCCCCCCCTCTCTCTCTAAACACAAATTATCCAGGTAGAATCTGAAAGAAACATTTTTTTTAAATCTTTAAAAAACAAGCCACTCAAGTTTAAGCCAACTCAGGTTGTATTTAATTTTAGCCTGACTCGGGCAAGTTGCTTCCACATTCAGTGATTCTCAGATTTTGAAACTAAATGTGTTCAGGTTATATCCTCAGATTTAAACCGTGACCAAAACTATCTCCACCGCCCCCTCGCACTGACCAATCAGGTCTGATAGCAGTACATGTCAAAACTCCTCCACCGTCCCCTCCCACTGACCAATCAGGTCTGATAGCAGAACATGTCAAAACTGCCTCCACCGCCCCCTCCCACTGACCAATCAGGTCTGATAGCCCATGTCAAAACTGTCTCCACCGCCCCCTCGCACACCACGTCTTCATCAAACCTCCAACTACCAAAATGCTTTTTGAGAAACATTGGCATGTTAAAGGGAGGGAAGCCTTTGTCACTGTTACCTGATGGGCTTTCCTTTTATTATCCTCTCTCAAACAAATTATTTTTCTTGCAGATTTGAGGATGGGGTGAGGGTAGGTAGTGGAGAATATCGTGATGTTAATCAGCATTTGTTGTTGTTGTTTTAAAACACCTTTTGTAAAGACATCTTGTAGAAAGCCTCTATGTAATGTGCAGTCATTACAGCTGTGTGGCCTCTGTTCTACAGGTCAGTGGTTCCCAAACTTTTAAGTTTGGCGGACCGTTGAACAAGTTTCAAAATTTTACCAAGGACCGGTGCATGATTTATTTTTATACTTTTATTTCTATTTGACATTAAATATTTATGTTATGGGGACCGGTGGGGTTAGGCATGTGGATCGGTGAAGGTCCACGGACCGCCATTTGGGGACCACTGCCTCTACTATTTGGTAATGATAGAAACATAAAGCTCCGGTGACCTGTTGAAGATTAAAAACAAACATTGTCGTCTGTCTTTTGTATTCACGGACTGTTGATCTATTATCTCTTTGTGTTACCTGACTTTCCATAGAGGTGTGTTCATTATTAAATTCTAAACTGCCTTAAAAGCTTGACTTCATGATGAGCCATATTTTAGAATAACAAACTTCTTTATACTATGCAACAAAATTAAAGGAGAAGCCTTGCAGTGTTATAGGTCGGTAACATTGATACGAATTATGGAGTGTTTTAGCATTGCCGGTTACAGCTGTATTCAACATAAATAGGATAGGTGATAGGGAACTGGTCTTCTGCTGGAATAGGAGATAGGGAACTGGTCTTCTGCTGGAATAGGTGATAGGGAACTGGTCTTCTGCTGGAATAGGTGATAGGGAACTGGTCTTCTGCTGGAATAGGAGATAGAGAACTGGTCTTCTGCTGGAATAGGTGATAGGGAACTGGTCTTCTGCTGGAATAGGTGATAGGGAACTGGTCTTCTGCTGGAATAGGTGATAGGGAACTGGTCTTCTGCTGGAATAGGTGATAGGGAACTGGTCTTCTGCTGGAATAGGTGATAGGGAATGGTGAGAGGGAACTGGTCTTCTGGTAGAATAGGTGATAGGGATCTGGTCTTCTGCTGGAATAGGTGATAGGGAACTGGTCTTCTGCTGGAATAGGTGATAGGGAACTGGTCTTCTGCTGGAATAGATGATAGGGAACTGGTCTTCTGGTGGAATAGATGATAGGCGCAATGTTCTGCTGGAATAGGTGATAGGGAACTGGTCTTCTGCTGGAATAGATGATAGGGAACTGGTCTTCTGCTGGAATAGATGATAGGGAACTGGTCTTCTGCTGGAATAGATGATGGGGAACTGGTCTTCTGCTGGAATAGATGATAGGGAACTGGTCTTCTGCTGGAATAGGTGATAGGCGCACAGGTCTGTTGGAATAGGTGATAGGGAACTGGTCTTCTGCTGGAATAGGTGATAGGCGCACAGGTCTGTTGGAATAGGTGATAGGCGCACAGGTCTGTTGGAATAGGTACAATGGTCTGATATTTGAAATAAACTTTAGTGAAAATATATTCTAAATGTTGATCATCCCATTAAAAATAACTGTTATGTACACTGTAAGATGGCAATATAATTTATAATAATTTATCATGTTCTCTCTCATGTCATTTTATTTTTTCACCTAATATTTTCAAGTTAGCTCAATTATCAATTTCTGAAACATAAAAACATGATACTGGAAACTTATGTAAAACAGATTATTTGACCGATAAGTAGGTCACATTATGAATCTAGTAAAGTGGGTCATATTATGAATCTAGTAAATTAGGTCACATTATGAAACTGGTAAAGTAGGTCATAACATGAATTTGGTAATAGGTTACTAGTTTGTCACAATACAGCCATGATAAATTAAGTCGCATTATAAATCTGGTGAAGTAATTCATAACATGAATGTGTTAATATGTTACTAGTTTGTCACAATAAGGCCATGATAAAGTAGGTCACATTTTGGCAACTTCAAATGAAAGATTGTTTAAAAAATTTTAAAGATTGTGGGGGGTGTTGTTAAGCCTCTCTTTTTTTACTAACATCACAACAGAAGTATTGTGTTTAGATAAAGCATACCATTGTTGTATTTGTATGCTACCAAAACCACATTAAAAATCATCCTGTTGAATTAAGCTGAGAATTAATCTAGAAATAGCACAATAGCACCGATCATTTTAATGGTCTACATCAGCTGGACTTTTTATTAAATCTAAGAAGTGAGATTGTAACTTTTGTTGATTTTTATAGCCATTTGCTTAAAGAGTTATTTCTATTTGTTCTTTCCGCAAGATTTATATATATATATGTGCTATATGTGCTATATATGTGCTATATATGTGCTATATATGTGCTATATATGTGCTATATATGTGCTATATATGTGCTATATATGTGCTATATATGTGCTATATATGTGCTATATATGTGCTATATATGTGCTATATATATATATATAAAAGTTTTTCAAAAGCTTTTTTAAAAAAGTATTCTTTAAGTTCCTATTTATATATGTATAAATATTTATCCATATCATTAAATTGGTGAGCATGCAGCACATGTTGTTTGGTTACATGACTCATTCTTTAACAATTGATAAATTCAAGCACCAGTACAGCAGTTCTAATGTTATACATTAACATTAGACAATGGGACCAGTGTTGTTTGAGTTTGAGCTAATTAAAACGTTGAAGACTTTATTGTTAATTATTTTTTGTGTCTCCTACCAAGTTTCAAATGAAATTTATTGGATATTTCCATTCAAAGTTTTAGGATTCACTGAAACTGGGACAAACTAGATCAGTAGGACTACCTAGATAAAAAATGACTAACAACTAGGTCAATAGAACTAACAACTAGATCAATAGAACTAACAATTAGGTCAATAGAACTAACAACTAAATCTAGAAGTGGGAATGGAGTTTAAGTGATACGCCTCCATCCCTCCTTGACGGGTTTCAATTTTATTTAGATTTATAAAAAAACTTTATCCATTTGTTCTTATTTTGCAAGATTATCATCGTTGTTGCAACCTCAAATAAGATCATCAAGTGTATTGATAAGTTGTACATTAATCAGTTATTTGTTACATTTTGATCTGCACTACGTAGAATTAGATTGATATGTTACAGTAATAAGTATGTTTCAAACCTGATAGCGTTATCATTTGCCTTGCTACCACATGTAATGTATTATTGTTTTAGGTAGCAACACAAGCACACACCACACAGAGCCATCACACACCCACACAAAGCCATCACACACCCACACAGAGCCATCACACACCCACTTAGAGCCATCACACACCCACACAGAGCCATCACACACCCACACAGAGCCATCAATGTCAGTCTTTTCTGTGCATGAAAACCATCTTAGCTGTATAAACCATTTCCTTGGAGCAGTCAGTTTTCACTTAGACTAATCAATGGATCTAATATAATTGCTTAGATATTGTAGTACTTGGCAGTAATAATTTAATTCAAGACATTGATTACAGATGAAGGCCATGATCTATGCCAGGGCTCCACATCTGTTCTCAGACTAAAGTTATTTACTTCACAGCTGTTCCCTGATCTTAGACTTGGTTACCTTACTGAAATTGATAATTGATAGATTTTTTGTATAAGCTAGTTGGGGGTAGTGGAGCCAATAATCTCATGGGATTGGGGGAGTAATGGGCTGTAGGAATGTTTTAACTCTTCATGCAGACTGGAGGTGTGGTATGCAATAAGTTCATGGGATTGGGGGAGTAATGGGCTGTACAAATGTTTCGCTCTCCATGCAGACTGAAGATGTGGTGTACAATAGTACAGATAACAGTAATTGTATGTAAATTAAAAAATGAGACTCATTTATGCTTTGTCTATTTTTCCTAGGTTTATTTTCTGTAGTAGTTCACTAGAGAAGCTCATTCAAGTCATTTGCTAGCAACGCATCACTAGAGACGCTCATTCAAGTCATTTGCTAGCAACGCATCACTAGAGACGCTCATTCAAGTCATTTGTTAGCAACGCATCACTAAAAACCTCATTAGAGTACTTTACGAATCACATCAAGAGTTGCTCATCTCATCCATTATGGTGTTTTTTGATTCTGTGAAGAAGTACAAAAACCAGGACTACAGCAAATTGAAGAAGGAATGTCAGTCCAAAGGAACGCTATTTATAGACACAGAATTCCCACCAGATGAAAGATCCCTCTCCAAAACGCCTGGCAAGTTTGGCAATATTGTCTGGAAAAGGCCAAAGGTAGATTTTGTCTCAAGCTGGATTCTAGGCAAATATTTGCACAGTTCACCAGAGACAAATAAACAAATTATTATTTGTCATATTTTAACTGTTTAAAACTCCATAGAGAAATGATTATGACTCCATAGAGAAATGATTATGACTCCAAAGAGAAATGATTATGACTCCATAGAGAAATGATTATGACTCCAAAGAGAAATGATTATGACTCCATAGAGAAATGATTATGACTCCAAAGAGAAATGATTATGACTCCATAGAGAAATGATTATGACTCCAAAGAGAAATGATTATGACTCCAAAGAGAAATGATTATGAGAGAAATGCCAGATATAAAATTCCCCATATGACCAGAAACAATTAAATACTGAGGCATCCTTTTCTTCACAGCCTCCACAATTATTTCATAAATAAACAAACATTAAGGTTAACCTTTGAACTGGTAGCACCACTGACACTGCTTACTATGTCAATTTACTGACACTGAATGTTTTGTTTTGAAATGTTTCTGACACAGACTTGTGTGTTAATACTTGGAGTCTATCAAATTTGCCAGGCATTTTATTGATTGACCTGTACATTGACCTAAGTCCCCACTCACCAAACCAGTTTTTATCAGACCCATTGATCATTCCAAGCTGCTTAACAGGGGACACAAATCTCACTTCTAGTAAGGGGACACAAATCTCAGTTCTAGTAAGGGGACACAAATCTCAGTTCTATCAAGCGGACCCAAATATCATTTCTATCAAGGGGACACAAATATCATTTCTATCAAGGGGACACAAATATCAGTTCTATCAAGGGGACACAAATATCAGTTCTATCAAGGGGACACAAATATCAGTTCTATCAAGCGGACACAAATATCAGTTCTATCAAGGAGACACAAATATCAGTTCTATCAAGCGGACACAAATCTCAGTTCTATCAAGCGGACACAAATCTCAGTTCTATCAAGCGGACACAAATCTCAGTTCTATCAAGCGGACACAAATATCAGTTCTATCAAGGGGACACAAATATCAGTTCTATCAAGCGGACACAAATATCAGTTCTATCAAGCGGACACAAATATCAGTTCTATCAAGCGGACACAAATATCAGTTCTATCAAGCGGACACAAATATCAGTTCTATCAAGCGGACACAAATATCAGTTCTATCAAGCGGACACAAATATCAGTTCTATCAAGCGGACACAAATATCAGTTCTATCAAGGGGACACAAATATCAGTTCTATCAAGCGGACACAAATATCAGTTCTATCAAGCGGACACAAATCTCAGTTCTATCAAGCGGACACAAATATCAGTTCTATCAAGGGGACACAAATATCAGTTCTATCAAGGGGACACAAATATCAGTTCTATCAAGGGGACACAAATCTCAGTTCTATCAAGCGGACACAAATATCAGTTCTATCAAGGGGACACAAATATCAGTTCTATCAAGGGAACACAAATATCAGTTCTATCAAGGGGACACAAATATCAGTTCTATCAAGGGGACACAAATATCAGTTTTATCAAGGGGACACAAATATCAGTTCTATCAAGCGGACACAAATATCAGTTCTATCAAGGGGACACAAATATCAGTTCTATCAAGGGGACACAAATCTCAGTTCTATCAAGCGGACACAAATATCATTTCTATCAAGCGGACACAAATCTCAGTTCTATCAAGGGGACACAAATCTCAGTTCTATCAAGCGGACACAAATATCAGTTCTATCAAGTGGACACAAATATCAGTTCTATCAGCCAGACAAAAGTATGCCGAGGAGTTGCTTTATTTTCATAACACATTGATGTATGCAGTAGTTATAGTTCTTGTCAGAATATTATTTACTGTTGAGAACAAGTTGAACATGTTATTTTGCTTACTTAATGTAATGATAAGAAAACAAATGAACTTGTTAGTTTATTCATATAACACAAAATGAATCAAGTCACTGTCCATCAGCTGTTCATTAAAACTGTGACAAACATGTTCTTGTCTACCCATGATTCTGAGGCCTCATGCACTGTCTATTTCAAGGGAATAATGAAAACTTCACTTGAGACAAGATTATAATGACAGGAAGAATTCATATCATCATCAAACCTTTCCAAAACAGACAGGCAGGAAAGACATGTTTAACAATGTATTTTTGACTGTTTATTTCTCAGTGCAGAAGACATCGCTTAGTATGTGGAGTAGACATCAATTTAACAAGGCTAGGACTTGATTAGACTGTCCCACTTTCTCTGCTGAGAAAGCCACTGGCCAAAATATAGAGATAAAATCAGAATGATCTAGTAAAGAAAATCTAGAAATTGCGTCACCTAATGGTATGCTTTAGAACTAATAGAAAGCAATCAAATGTAAACAACCTTATCCCAATCAAATATAAACAGCCTTATCCCAATCAAATGTAAACAACCTTATCCCAATCAAGGGAAGGGAGCGTAAGGAATGGCACAGCACATTTACTGGGTGACATCAATATCAGAACAAATAAGGGGTAGACAAGTGGCAGTGGCTAAAATTAGGCCGCAATATATGTGTAAACTGAAATAGAGACAAGCTGATATTTTAAAAGAAATATTTTTGTACTAGTGACATTCTCTCCCCTGTCAGACTTACAAGTCAACTATATTCTCTCCCTGTCAAACTTAACGAGTCTACTATTTTCCCCTTTACAGCAAATCTGTAATGACCCGAAACTGTTTGTTGAAGGAGCCAGTTCCGGAGATGTCTCCCAGGGAAAGTTGGGCAACTGCTGGTTTGTTGCTGCGTCGTCTTGTTTGGCTTCCTTCAAAGAAATTTGGTACAAGGTAGATAGAAGTCTCTGGGTTACCTCCAAATATTTGTTAAGTATGTGTCTTGGTGTGGTCCTGGTGTGTGTGTTGTTGTGGTCCTGATGTGTGTGTGTTGTTGTGGTCCTGATGTTTGTGTTGTTGTGGTCCTGATGTGTGTGTTGTTCTGGTCCTGATGTGTGTGTTGTTCTGGTCCTGATGTGTGTGTTGCTGTGGGTCATATATATTTAAATATATATATATATATATATATATGTGTGTGTGTGTGTTGTGGTCCTGATATAAATCTGTGAGGGTTTTGTTGTGGTCCTGATATATGTGTGTTGTACCAAGTGACCTATGTTGTGTAAGTGACCTGTGTTGTACCAAGTGACCTGTGTTGTACCAAGTGACCTGTGTCATGCTTCTTAGTTATTGATTAAGTTGCTGAAATAATTTTTTAAAATGTTGGGTTTACCAGCACCACCTCTTGTTGTATTACTATTATCTGATGTTAGAATTAAAAAGATGCTGTTGAATTCACAACAAAATCTATTGAGAAAATACCCAAAACTAAATATTGTAACCCAAGTCCCATGTTCATATTACACTGACCAAGGGTGTTAGGATTAGTTATATTTATGTCAATTCTTTGTAAGTTCCAACATCAGGATTTGTTTTTGAAAAAGTAAGCAAGGATAAAGATATGACATTATTCACAAACATTGTTACTTATTGTTATCCCTGTAGTAGAAATTTGAATTGTTATCCCTGTAGTAGAAATTTGAATCTAAGATTGACAAATGACCAATGTGAAGAGAAAGTTCCCATGCTTATCTCCCTTACAGGTGATACCAGACGCCAAACTCCAGGAGTGGGACCCACAGAAACCAGCCAACTACCAGGGCATCTTCAAGTTCCAGTTCTGGCGTTACGGAGAGTGGACGGAGGTGGTCATTGATGACTTCCTGCCAACTGTCAATGACCAGCTCGTGTTTATTCACTCACAAAGTCGAAATGAGTTCTGGTCTGCACTTTTGGAAAAGGCTTATGCTAAGTGAGTTTCTAATCTTGATATTTCTTGTTACGGTAACTCCTGACATTATCAAATTGCAGCAGATGTTTTAAATATTTTATTTGACATTGCATAATTATGTTAACCTTTTCAAAACCTGTAGCTCACCAAGCTAGTTTTGCCATTTAAAATAATAAAGACTCGCTCTTGATAAAACAGACCAAGATGCCAGACCAAATGAGCTTGCTGCAAGATGTTTAATCATATTGAACATCTCGGGAGTAATCAATGTTTTATGATTGCATATTTTCTCAACATAGTCTTCATGTGTGGTCAAGTTTTTTGGCATGTGTGATCAAGTACTTTGTCATGTGTGGTCAAGTACTTTGTCATGTGTGGTCAAGTTTTTTGTCATGTGTGGTCAAGTACTTTGTCACGTTTGGTTAAGTACTTTGTCATGTGTGGACATTTAAGAATGTACACAACCCAAATACTATGCCATAGTTGAACTGCTTTAGTAGAAAAGTAACTGATATCTGTAATCTCAACAATACCAGGTTGTTTGGTACTTATGAGGCTCTTGATGGGGGTGAGCTCAGCGAGGCCCTGGAAGATTTTACAGGTGGTGTGTCTGACACCCTGGATATGATCAAGATGGAAGTGGCCATCAAACCTGAGGAGAGAGTTGCCTTGTTTGCTCGTATGCTGAAAGAAAAGGACAGGAAGTCTTTGATGGCGGCCTCCATTCCAGTATGTGATATTTAATATAGCGGTTTATGTTGAAAGTACTAGTGTCACAAAAGAATCAAAGTTTCAATTTAGGTTTCAAATTACTTCTGGACTTTAGGATCACATTTTAAAAAAATTAAATTTGAATGGAAGCACTACCATAGAACACATTTATTTGAATGGAAGCACTACCATAGAACACATTTATTTGAATGGAAGCACTACCATAGAACACATTTATTTGAATGGAAGCACTAACATAGAACACATTTATTTGAATGGAAGCACTACCATAGAACACATTTATTTGAATGGAAGCACTAACATAGAACACATTTATTTGAATGGAAGCACTAACATAGAACACATTTATTTGAATGGAAGCACTAACATAGAACACATTTATTTGAATGGAAGCACTAACATAGAGCACATTTATTTGAATGGAAGCACTAACATAGAACATATTTATTTGAATGGAAGCACTACCATAGAACATATTTATTTGAATGGAAGCACTACCATAGAACATATTTATTTGAATGGAAGCACTAACATAGAACACATTTATTTGAATGGAAGCACTAACATAGAACACATTAATGATATCATTGACATTTATGATATCATTTATTTGATGATAGTTAGTAGTTAAACAATAAGAAACCCCAAAATGACATTTAATGTCACTCTGATGTCCCCTATCTAGGCCACATCAGCAGAAGACATGGAAGCAACTACAGAGATTGGTCTGGTCAAAGGCCATGCTTATGGCATTACATCAGTGAAAAATGTACACCTGGAAGGTTCTGGGCTGTTTGGCTTGTTTAACAGAGAAAAATTGCCGATGATCCGACTGCGCAATCCGTGGGGTCAAGGAGAATGGAAGGGGGCCTTCAGTGACGGGTAACAATATTTTTTAAATGTTCTTTTTTTAAATAGTGCATCTATTTTTATATAGTAACCTTTCTTGTTTGATATAGAACCATTCTTGTTTTTATACAGTACCAATCTTGTTTGATATAGAACCATTCTTGTTTTTATACAGTACCAATCTTGTTGGATATAGAACCATTCTTGTTTTTATACAGTACCAATCTTGTTTGATATAGAACCATTCTTGTTTTTATACAGTACCAATCTTGTTTGATATAGAACCATTCTTGTTTTTATACAGTACCAATCTTGTTTGATATAGAACCATTCTTGTTTTTATACAGTACCAATCTTGTTTGATATAGAACCATTCTTGTTTTTATACAGTACCAATCTTGTTTGATATAGAACCATTCTTGTTTTTATACAGTACCAATCTTGTTTGATATAGAACCATTATTTTTTCTTTAAATTTTATAAGCAATTTGGTTCTTGATTGTTCTACTTAAATAAAATATTAATGTATACAGTATAACAAGGGACAGTTAATTTCACCAGGTCCACAGAATGGAATAAAATCAGCTCCTCTGACAGACAGAAAATTGGGCTGACATTCGAAGAAGACGGAGAATTCTGGTGAGTCTTAGAAACTCATCCTTTCTTTGTTTAATTGTTTCTTTTGTCACATATTGTGGGGGACTTCTCATTTGTATCTCATTCTTAAGTATTATATTATAATGTCTGTTTGAGTTTTTGTCTCCATGTTTGGTCATTAGTGTATGTCAACTGTGGACCTAAGGAATTGACCAAATTAGTCTGCCCCTTGATCTTCTTAAATTATTTGCACATAGAAAACAAGCATTGGTCATAAATGATTCCTTTGTTAGAAGATCCATTTAAATGTTTACATATTTTTATGACTGCTTGACTGACATATTTGCATGACTGACATACTTTCATGACTGTGAGACTGACAGCTTCCAGCTATAGCTTGTCATATTTAAGGTGCAATGGGAGTTTATTTTGTTCCTAACTTTTGAAATTTTCTATTAGGATGACGTTTGAGGACTACTGTAAATATTTTATTCAGACTTGCATCTGTCGTGTGGTGAACACTTCCTATCTCAGTCTCTCAAAGACATGGCATGAAGGGCTCTCACACGGAGCATGGAAGCTGCCAGACCGGGCAGGGGGCTGTCCGAACAATAAAGACACCTTCTTAAAAAATCCACAAGTGGGGAATATTTAATAATTTCTTGGTAGTGTAAACATGAAATAAAGTTTTCTGTTAACTCTTTTACACACACACATTAAAAGTTAATGTTATTTGAAGTTTTTTTGTTGTTTTTTTTTATTGCACTTGCTTGTTACAATTTTAGTTCATGTTTGACATTGGTGAAGACGGAGACGAGTGCATGGTACAGTTGATGCAGAAAGCCAGCAGAGACAAAGAGAATGTAACAATTGGGTTCACAATTCTGAAGGTGAGTGATCGATGTTTACTGTTTGAATTCATTTGAAGCATTTCTTTGAGCCTTTTTTTTTTTTTTTTTTTTCAAATTTTTTTTTTTGTTTTTAAAATGTGGGTTGTTAAATCAAAATTTTTTTTAAAATTTTTTTCAGCCCAAAAAATATATTTTTCTATTTATTTGTTTTTTTTTTTTAAATTTTTTTTTTTTTTTTTTTTTTTTTTTTTTTTTTTGTGTACAAATTATGTTATATGTCTAGAAAATGTGGATAGTCAACTCAAAATGTTACTGAAATTTTCTCTCAGCCAAAAACATATATTTTGCTATTAATTGGTTTTTTTTTTACAATTTTTGAAACGGCTCCAATTTATGGAGCCATGGAGAAAACTGTCTACCCCCCTGTTGTCTTTAGAACATTTCATGCATGGCGTTCATCTGTGCATTCATCTGTGCATTCATCTGTGCATTCATTTGTGCATTCATTTGTACAACCTTAACAATTTTTTTAAAATTTGCATTCTAAAATTAGGTGGAGCTGAACAGAGAGTATCGCTTACATGACCTCTTCTTGCAAGAAAAGGTCACCTCCACAGTCTACAGAAACAGTAGATCAATATTTCTACGTCATGGACCAATGAAAAAAGGGCGTTATGTTGTTATACCTTCAACCTTTGACCCCAATGTTGAAGCCAACTATTTGTTCAGAGTTTACACAAGCACTTTCAACAATTTCAAGTAAAGTTCTATATACCACAGCTAGTTCTATATACCACAGCTAGTTCTATATACCACAGCTAGTTCTATATACCACAGCTAGTTCTATATACCACAGCTAGTTCTATATACCACAGCTAGTTCTATATACCACAGCTTTTTCACCTGTTCAATCTAGCCAAACGGTTTATAAAAAATTGATTTTTCAATATTGAATGATGCTTTTTATTTTGTTTTAGGAGATGTTATATTGTGCATCAGGGGGGTGTGGGGTTGTAGAAATAAACTTTTTTTGTGATAAAATTCTACATGACTAAATCTAGAACTTAACCCTCTTGAGACGGCTGGACAGATAGATCAGCCCAGAGTAGAAAAAGACAAAATAAAAGCCTTGAGGTGGCGGGCTGGTCTTTGTACCAACTAATCAGATTGCTTCTCTCATTTCTTACTCATCTCACCATTGTGATGGCCGTTTGCATTGATAGTTTACTGTGTTCTGTCATTTTATAGCAATTTTTTTGTAGGTAATGACTCTTGTAAATGATTTAAAAGTATGTGACCTTGAAATATGCCAAAAGGTAGAAGCACCTGCAGTGAAATATTTTATGCAGTTTTTCACAATGAATCTCATTCACATATTTGTTAGGACTTATTTAGGCTTCAGCAATTCAGCCAGATTCTGCAATTAAGACATGTTTATTCTAATTGTAAAGTAAAAATAGCATGCATAAATTATGCTAATCAGGATGTCTAATTTGCATGCATGAATTTTGAGATTTCAATTGAAGACATAAAGATTGTATTAGTTCATTCAATTCGACATAAAGATTGTATTCGTTCATTCAATTCCCAAAAAGAATTGATCTAGTTTTAATATCACCAATCTTCCTCTCTGATTGTACAGAGAACTGACAAAGGAGAAGCCAGTGAAAAGTTGGTATAACTGCTGTGGTAAAGCTCCTGTCATGGTCACTCAGGTCAAGGTTGTTAAAGCCAGTGGACTAGAGAAACAAGACCGAACAGGGGGTGAGTCATGATTCCTTTGGTTGATCTCTTAGAAATAACAAGCATCCATTTCATTAGAGCAGCAGCTCTGAACCTTTTTGTGCAATGGTTAACTTTGTCTGCCTTGGATACTGTGCAATGTGTAACTTTGTCTGTTTTACATACTGTGCTATGTTTAACTTTGTCTGTTTTACATACTGTGCAACGGTTAACTTTGTCTGCCTTAGATACTGTGCAATGTTTAACTTTGTCTGCCTTACATACTGTGCAACGGTTAACTTTGTCTGCCTTAGATACTGTGCAATGTTTAACTTTGTCTGCCTTAGATACTGTGCAATGTTTAACTTTGTCTGTTTTACATACTGTGCTATGTTTAACTTTGTCTGTTTTACATACTGTGCTATGTTTAACTTTGTCTGCCTTACATAAACATGTTAAAAAAACTTCTATGGAAATCTTTTATTTTAAAACAGATTCAACAAAAACATATATAAACGACTAGTATTAAATGATTAATAATAATAAAGCAAGTACTAATGAACTGTCTGATGTGTTATGACATATTTAAGGCCAAATAAAAAAAAGAACATTAATGAATCAGTCTGTCCCAGGTCCCCGGGGCAATGGTAATCTTGTCCAAACATTTTGAGAAGTACTATTCTGGATGACATCACTTTTAATTCAGCTGCAAAGCTGATATCCCAATGTTAGAATTTGGCATTTATCATAAAATTATTTTGTTGCCCACCTTTCAGTATCATTTGACAGGACTTTTAAAATAAAAATATTTCAATGTTTCCTCCAGGAGCTGATCCTTACTGCATCATCTCATGTGAAGGACGGCCAGTGACCACTTCCAGCTGCAAAAACACAACCAGCCCAGAATGGGATGTATCTGCTCTGTTTTACCGGTCTAACCCCACCAAGTCACCCCTGAAGATACAGATCTGGAATAACAACATCATCAGAGATGAATTCATGGGACAGCACATCTTCTTGTCAGCGGATGAGTGCAAGAGCCAGAGTTTTGAGGTTGGCCTGTTTGGGCGTGCAAAGAATGAGGCAACAACAGAAAAGCCAGGGAAATTGATAGTGACAATCACACAAACTCGAGACTTGATGGCGGTGTAGGCCTGGTTTTATGATGTTCAAGAATTTATCTGGAGATTTTACAACTTACGACACGAAAATTAACCTTTTGCAGGCTTGTGGAAAATCTTAATTAAAATAAGTTTTAAAAAGTTAGAATATAATTTTACTAACACTAAAATTTTGTGCGTAGTGTGGTGGGAGTTTTGTCATAATATTTTAATTTTAGAAAATTATAAAAGTTTACGCCATTTCTGAAATGATAATTTATTTTCTTGTACAAGTCAATGTTATGGAAATTTTAATGAAATTAGTTATTTTTTTATAAATCTATTTCTTGTTATATACAATTCTGCAATAATATTTTATTATTAAATGCTTTTAAAATGTGATGAAATCATTCACTGGTTTTCAATTTTTTCATAAGATTCAAATAAGAAGAGTCAAGCCAGCAAGTTTTAAAAAAAAATATTTTTAACATTTTTAAATGTACTGCCACCAAGCCCGCTAATAATATTACTGGTATAAAAAATGAACAGATTTGACTACTCAACAAATAGCGCGCCTCCCCCAAATTGTATTTTTTAGAACCACACAACATATTGCGCCATCCATCTTGTTATTAATTGTATAATAATAATCATATTTATGTGGTGGGCTGTGAAGAACTAAACATTTTAATTTTAGTTTTTTTCAAGCAATATAAATTCCATTTAATTTCTCTATAAAATTTTTTACCTTTACATTGGTTTTTTATTAATTTTTTAAATATCTTTATTTACTTGAGATCTACACTTTACAATTTTACTTAAAATCTTATATTTTGAATGAGCTGCATTTCTTGTCCATTTCCACATTATCTACGTCAGTGGGTACCACATTATCTACGTCAGTGGGTACCACATTTTTATTGTCCATTCAACGTCCAGATCTGATCTACTTTTCCCATGTTGGCTAATGGATTCCTGTTTTATTTCTAATGTGTTTGCCACCAATTCCCTACTTATAATTTGCTCAGAAATGATTGCTCCAAAAATTCTTTTGTTTTTAATGCAATTGTGCTTCTTCATTCAGATAAAGGGAGCTTTGATCAAATGGAAAAAATATATGGAGAGAGAACTTTGTAGAGCACTAAACGCCACATAGAATCTTTTATTTTTATCACCAAAATGCCTTGTAACTTGTAGCACCATATTATTAACATCTATCTCACACTGTTGAATTATTATGGAAAGGGGTGAAATTTGGAAAGAGAAATGTGTATAAATGAGATATTTGATCAGATAACATTATTTTCTTTCATTTAAATTGATCAAATGGTGCTTTATTTTCTGCTGTTTTTTTAAAACTTATATTACAATGTTATATATTTCATGTGCACATTATAAAATCTCAGTGAAATATCCCTTGTATTACCTTACTTTGTGTATTGTACGTGGCTCTATATTCATTAAGGCTTTTACAGTTTTTTTAATGGAGTGGATTGTATAAATAAGTATAAGTAAGTATAAGAAGTTTGATATTTTAAGATGTTTCTTCCAATTCTATTTATTTATTCATGTACTTATGATAGTGCAGGGGAGGGCAACCTGCAGCCCACATCCGATGCAACATATAATATTGCCAGGAGACCATCATGGAACTGGATTAATTATTTTTGTATAATGTACAAACTTCCATGCGGCCCCCCCTGCACAAAAAGCTTGTCCAGCCCAGTAGTATGTGGTCAAAGCTTTAAAAATGTCTTTTTAAATTTTCTTCCCTGTAGCCTTAAATATTCATTTTCAAACTATACAAATTAAACTTATTTGGTGGGAAGGCAAGTACATTTTATCAGACTATTTGAACATTTATATTGAACATATTTGTTGTCTATGCAATATTCCTCAGTAGTGGTAGAAATTTTAAGACTCTTAAACTTTCAGTAGAATTCAATGGAGTTTTCTTTGCTTGTCTCATAAATACGTTTTAAGTTAGTAGGTACTGTGTTTATTACTACATAATTTGCTACATTACTTACTATTACATTTCAGCAATTCTTAACAAGTTGGAAAAAGACTGGTCACAAACTAACCTTAAAGTTTTTGCCAGATCAGAATTATTTCTCTGCTGCTGACTGAAATTAGTCTTTCTCAGGTCTACTTTTTTATTTAATATGAAACATATTTAATTAACACATATTTTAAAATAACTGAAAAGGTTGCTCCGGCAGTTTTACCTCTTTCCTGGTCTGTTCATTAGGCTAATCTAACTTTCCTGGTCTGTTCATTAGGCTAATCTAACTTTCCTGATCTGTTCATTAGGCTAATCTAATTTTCAGCATTTAAAAATATTTGGACGAGTTTCTTTTCAGAATTCCTCATTTTTATATAAATATATTTTAAATTTCTCCACCATTGTTTTTGTTCAATTAATTTAATTCATGGAAGTGTCACATTTTGTGAAAATGGTGTGAGTTCTGAAATGTTGTGCCAGTCAGTTAAGTGCTTCGTTAGTTCTGAAATGTTGTGCCAGTCAGTTAAGTGCTTCGTTAGTTCTGAAATGTTGTGCCAGTCAGTTAAGTGCTTCGTTAGTTCTGAAATGTTGTGCCAATAAAAAGTTAGTTTGCTAGCCTTAATAAGTTAAGAGCTTGTTTCCATCGTAGACATATAAGTCAAATAAAATTTAAACTTTGAGGGTTTTTCAATTTACATACTTATTAATATTATGGACAGATGATGATCTGGACCTGTGACATTGTGATTTGTAAGTGACACCTGGGTTAGATCAAGACACCCCCCCCCCTCACCTTTTTTATGCTAGTGCTGCTTTCTTCAGTTCAGTAAATTAAATACCTGCATAAAAATATCAATATTCCTTATAATAACTGTTTTTTGAAATTGAAAAAAAAATATCTTAGCTGAAACGTTGTATGGTATTATAGGAGATGTATCTAAGTGAGAATCTCTTGCGGTTTTATGGAATACTTTATTGAAGTTTTTGTATACATCTGTACTGACAAACCTGGTCGCAATGAAACTCCCAAAATTGTACAATATAGCTTCCGTCATCACAGTCTCATCTCTTACTATTCTGGCATTAATAAAACCTCCAGTGTAGTGTTCAAGCAGTGAGTGGGCACATATGTCAAGTAGTGAGTGGGCACTCAAGTCAAGTAGTGATGGGCACTCAAGTCAAGCACCGGTAGTGAGTGGACACTCAAGTCAAGTAGTGAGTGTACCCTGAAAGACTCCCCTTCCTCAATAATCACACACAAATATTTACCCAAATGATTTAAGAAATGCATCTCTGTCTTCCACTGACATTTATTTTCAATTGCAAAAAAAAAAGATTTAGATTGTTCTGTACAGTCTTCTTAACATAGTGTCAAAACAATGGTTATAGATTCAAGGCAAAAATAATTGTGGAGGAGACAAGTGCATCACAAGACTGAACAAGATTAAGCCCCCTTGTCATACCTGTTATAAGTAAATATTTCTGTTGTGAGAGACTTGACAGTCATTCAACTTGAAACTAGCAATAACCTTTTTTAAAAGATTATTTGAAAATAGTTACACACATTTTGTACAAATGTTTTATTCTTTCAATTAATTAAAAGGATAAAAATAATTTTTTGGTGAGCTGTTACTGTTGAGTCCAACATACATTTGTAAATGTATGTTCTCATATGTAACAGTATTGTCTATGTTCTCAACCAGATAAAAATTTCACAGTATTTTTTTAAAATTTAAATCTTGTGTTACCAGATGCTTCAATCCTATGGGAAATAAGCATTTTGAATTGTATGTACATCAGTGACCAAAAACTTTACATCATATAACAAAACTTTTCCCAATATTGGTAACATACAACAATATTCACTAAGATTTTTTTTCCAATATTGCTTTCTAGAGCAAAACTTCATTGATTCTATAAAAGTGAAAGCTGAATCACCTATAAAAGTCAATCAACTCACAGCAATTTATATTGGAGGAATTAAAATCTGTAAAATACAAGGACCAAGATGATAAGATTGCATTGAGAAATTCTTTGACTGAAAGCTAAGGGACAAAAACTAGATCAATGTGCACCTAACTGACGGTTCCTACTCAACAGGAAATACAGCACCTAGCATTGGTAGAATTTATTTTACTTTGCTAGAATTTATTTTACTTTGCTTTACGTCATACACCCTTTCCACAACATATCCAGTGCTATATAGCCATTTCTTGAACACAACATACAGTAACTCCTGTAAAGCCCTTTCTACAATATATTTGCTAATAACATACCTTTATTTTTTAAAATTTCAACTTTCAAAAATATCTGAGAACTATTTCCTAAAATTATGTGTACACTTTACCAACTAAAAATTTCTGTGACATAAAATAGTTTGTGTTCCTGTCTTGTCTAGATGTCCGAGTTCCTGTCTTGTCTGGAAAAATGTCAATACATCATTTCAGGTTAATAGGGATTTAAGAAATAAATTCAAGCAGTAGGTTATCTCAGGTGAGATCTCGGGCAAGTATAATGTCATTGCAAGTTGACAAGATTCCTCATAATCCCCCATCAAGTCATCAATGGCTTCATTCTAAAGCCTCACTTAGTGCCTGCTTCTGAAGATCTGTCAGTTGACTCACACACACTTGAAAAGCATCAGGGTTTGACTGAAAATGAAAACAAAGAATGATACAAAAACACTGTACACAACAAAGATGTAAACAAATGTAGATCTGTGTTTTTGGGGAAATATTTTGATCAAATCAACCACAACCACAATCTGTACTTAAATGATTGTTTGTTAGATATTTTAATCTGTTTCGCTTCAAACAGACCCAGCAATGGAGTATATAACTTTAAGCAACTGACTGACCAAACAGACCCAGCAATGGAGCATATAACTTTAAGCAACTGACTGACCAAACAGACCCAGCAATGGAGTATATAACTTTATGCAACTGACTAACACATTACATTTTAAAGTGAACATAGCTACAAAAAGAAAAGGAGAAAAAAAAACATTTGGGCTTGTTCATAAAGGACATCTGGCAATAAATAAGGATCATTCAATGCCATGATAGTGATCCACAATACAACACTCGTAATATAGATATTTTATTTTATCTTATCAAAATTCAACCCATCAACAAAGTGATAAAAAAATTACCTGCCCAATTTTGATGTTTTAATAGATATTTATATAACCTAGTTTTCATATGCTTCCTGGCAATCAATAGTGTCTCCTGCTGATAAGTTAATCAAACAGAATAGAGTTAACATATTTTTTCATTTTTTTTACTGTACACAAAAACCCCCCACCCCTGAACAAAGTTCAAGAATACAGAAAAATTACCTGAACTTGTTTGACTATACTGATGAGTCTCAGGTATAAAGGTGTGTCTTCTTGAATCAATTCACGATGGAGTGTCTCGGCAACTATGCTGACAACTTTAGGAAGATTTGCAGCATTTTCTCCCATTATGCCTGGATGGTTTCTGATGAAACAAATAAACTAGCTATACTTGTACCTACATACCACACATGATTGTTTCAAATCTCATTACCTCATAGGAAACCCCACATGATTGTTTCATATCTCATTAGCTCATAGGAAGCCCCACATGATAGTTTCATATCTCATTAGCTCATAGGAAGCCCCACATGATTGTTTCATATCTCATTAGCCCACAGAAAACCCCACATGATTGTTTCATATCTCATTAGCTCATAGGAAGCCCCACATGATTGTATCATATCTCATTAGCCCACAGAAAATCCCACATGATTGTTTCATATCTCATTAGCCCACAGAAAACCCCACATGATTCTTTCATATCTCATTAGCTCATAGGAAGCCCCACATGATTGTTTCATATCTCATTAGCTCATAGGAAGCCCCACATGATTGTTTCATATCTCATTAGCTTTTTATAAATAAAAAATATTGCTCACTTGTCCAAAAGATCACAGAAATATGTGTAGACATGTGCAGCCTCTTCTTCATCACTGAGAATTGGTAACCATGACACAAGCCTGGCTAATAGTTCTTCAATGTTGACCTTTGACCCATTGAACTGGCAGATTTTCACCACAGCAGAGATAGCATTGTCTGTGGCCGGGGAATTTTCCACCTCCTTGGATTCCGGGTGCTCAATGACACTGACCAGTCGAGGTATACTCTCTGTGAACAAATATGAAGACAGCAACTCAAATGTATGGTGTTTCAAATGACAAGCCGAAGGAAATGCTGACAAACAGCAATGTCAGATATTTTATAAGTAAATTAAATGAACATAACTTGAAAGATGACAGCCATTTTCAATAATGCACTAAACCAAGACAGCACAATAATACAGCCTATTTATCCCATAGGCAGGGAGAATTTTTACTGAAACTTTACCCACTTCCCAAGATGTTGCTTTTGAGGATGATGAGTCTTTACCACCAAGCCAAATGTCCAACCTTTGAGAATGAGTCTTTACCACCCAGCCAAATGTCCAAACTTTGAGAACAAGTCTTTACCACCCAGCCAAATGCCCAACCTCTGAGGATGACAAGTCCTTACCACCCAGCCAAATGCCCAACATTTGAAGACAACTCTTTACCACCCAGCCAAATGCAAACAGATGGATATTAAAACCAACCAATGACCTGTAGGTTGCTTGGCAGGCAATGCTATCAATACACCAACAAGATGTGATTCACGCCTTGCTAAAGAGGACACAGTAACTCACCGGCACAAACATCTGCGTAAACCTCTCCTCCAAACTGACCAATCACACCGATGCCATATGCCGCAGCCTGCCGAATCTCTGGAACTTTGTCGGTGATGGCCTGAAGCATGTGCTCTATGAAGAACTCTCGATATTTGTAGGAGAGCTGAAATAAGTTGAGGTGGTGTACAAATCACAAACATTTATAAATGGCTCATCATGATTACATAATTCATAACTTAAACTTACAATTTTCTATTTAAACAGTTCCAGCTTTACAAACTTTTAACAAGCTGCACTAATATAGCATACACCCCCCACCAAACCTTTTCCTCTACCTTCCCAATAGAATAAAAAAAACAGACAGTTTAGTAGACGATGACTCAATGTGAAACAACTCTTTACTTTATGTAAGATTTATTTAACGACTTACTGGCCCAGTATGTTCAATGACATCATCCCATACACACAAAGCCCACTGTCTGTCTGACCAAGGTCTGTCTGGTAACTGTAACCATAAATAGAATTATTTGAATGGAATATAGAATAGTGAAAAGACACTACTTATCCTAATGTTGGTCAAAACTTACAAAGCTTACAAGTCTCACAAAGCTTTCATATTCTCTGTAAGGCATGTGCCACGAAATGGTAGAAATAACCCTCAAATACATTATTTAACAAGTAATAATAACTGGATATTATTCACCGGAAAAAATAAAAATCCTGTCAGGGTAGTTACATAGAAATGTTTTCCTGCATAAATATAATATTTATCATTTTTTATTAGAAAATAAATGGCATTTGACATATTTTTATGTTGAAAGATAATGTAACACTGATTTTCCCACAAACAATTTCATTCAAATGATGACTGCTTAAATCAAGACATTTTTCTCAATTAGTTGATAGTTTTAACTCACGAACTGTGGTCAGCCGAAAAAAAAAAATCGGATAGCAACTTCCAATCCAATATTTAACCGGAATTATAGCCAAGTCCTTTCATTAATAATTAAATCATCCTCCAGTTCAAGCTGTTTCGTGATAACTTAAAAATAAATAATTTTTAATCAGAGTTTTATTTCGCTGTTTTTTTTTTAAAGCTAAAATGGTTGAAGCCATGGCTGGGGTCATTCAGTGCAAGAACTAATAGAAATATGTTTGAAAGCTTTTTAGGAGAGGATTTAAGTGCTACTGATGATGATATTAACATTCCCCAAAATATATCAGTTGAGATTATTCTTCTCGTGAATCTTATACTAGTCTTAATGATACTGAAGTAGGCCTACTGAGGCTACTGTTAGACTTCGAGCCAGGTCCGGAGGTTGGGCAAGGACTGTCTGAATTTCATTCACAGAAGCTACAGATTATAGATCAGAACTAATAAATTTTATAGTTATACAACCCAAATCAGTTCCACAGTTCCTTTTTAAATGTTTACTAGTCAATAATAACTATTTTGCCTGAGATTTCGTATTTTGTACTTGGTTTTAGCAGTGGTCCCAGTTTCTTATATAAATTACCTAAAATTACTAAAATTGCTTTCAGAAGTTGACTTGCAATCAAAACCTTAGCAAACTATACATTTTCTTAAAGATAAATGAATTGGCTACAACATTTAGATTTGTGTTTTAAGTGTATCTATAAAAATTAATGATGTTATGAGCACTTGAAAGCAAGACATTTTGTTGATCTTTTTTTCTTCAGAACTTCAAGGTCAAGGACACTGAGCAAAATTTTTTTACGGGGTGGGCAATATGGTCATCACTATCCCCCTCCAATAACCTTCTTAAAAATATATACTTATGTCATTTAATGCAATTTCAAATGGCACTCAAAACGCTCTGAAAAGCTCCACACCACAGAATGATGCATGCCACAGTTCGTGGGTTAAGCTATGGCAAAAGTAAATTCTTATGAAACTAGCTGACTGATAACTTTATGTTAGAACTTTTTTTAAATGAATTGTTAATTTCATGACAAGATAAAACTTACTAAAAGTTTGACAAAGTATGGCATGATCTGTTCAAAAACTGGTAGAAAAGATTCTTTGTGTGTACCAAAAAACGAGTGAAGGATATCCGCAATTTTACTCAACACATATGCATCTTCATCATCCTGAAACAGACAAGAAGAATGGATACAGACAATAGAACCCTCTCAATCCCAAGAACCAAAACTAAGACCATCGGTGAACGCTCCTTCTACTTCCATGGGCCCATGTTCTGGAACCAGCTCCCCTTCCATATCCGTCATTGTGAAACCTCGTCCACTTTTAAAAACTCCCTTAAAACCCATCCGTTTAGGTCCGCCTATGACCTGTGATGCACCCTCCTTGCCCTGCCTCATCTTCTGTCTAGGGTTAATCCTGTAGTATAGGCCAAAGTGTCCTCGTTTCATAGCCATTTTAATTGTTTCTATAGTATAGTAGTTACTATCCTAATGTCTCATTTTTATTTTAATTAGTTTACATGTTTTTAATAATTGTAAAGCGCTTTGAGCTTTAAGGTAAGCGCTATATAAAAATGCCTAAATAAATAAATAAAATACAGACAAGAAAAATGGATGCAGATAAGAAGAATGGATAAAGACAAAAAGAATAAGGTGTTCTCAAATAGTTTTAACAGCATTGAGTAAAACATCACTGGATAATTTACAATTTATTTATCTAAATAAAATGTATTATTTATCTTAATTGAATAGACGGTGGTGGATATAGATCCAAGTAAACAAAGGAACCTAGAATTAATGTATTCATGAATAATATAGAAAGGTTAACACTGCAGTTAGAAATTTTGATTAACTTTTATAAAACATTTGGTCAGTTTTCCTTACTAATAAGCGAGAGTAAAACAATATTTGTTTTTAAGTTTTAGAGACAGTGAGAAACATTTTTTGGGGTAGCTCACTTCATCAACTAGATTTTCCTCCACAATTTCATCATAATCCTCATCTTTCCTCTTCTCCTGTCTCTGCACTTGTCTGATGAAGTGCTGTTTCAGGAGATTGTCTAGCAAAGAGACGACTGTGGACATGTCCTGCTCTTTAAGACAACCTTTACCAAGTGTTTCTATACACTGGGGACAAAATTATAAGAGATTGTTTAACATGACCTCTATGAGAATAACCCATTCAACCCTGAAACTGAAAAATCTGACCAGAACCAATTCAACCCCTCTGATGCAACCAAGGAAGACTACTCCAAAATATTTTGTTATTTTATGGATTGCTCAACCAGTCTTAATCATCATTATTATAATAGCACATTATAATGATCATGGGTAGTCACTTTGGTGTAGATTGACATTAAGGAATTCAATGAACATAAGCATTGGGAAATAATGTGTGACGATACATACAGCAACCAACCATGAATGACAGGGTTCATACAGAATTCAAGGTCCAGAATACACAAACTTTTCCCAAACCTTCAAAGACCGTTTTTTTAAATTCAAAGACCTATTTATTATCATTTACGGTAACGGTACTGGTACTACTAAAGAGAGAAAAAACAACAAACTCACATAAAAATAGCATAGATTCAAAATTCTTTATAACACTTAAGAAGATACAATATATACATAATAATCAGCTTATCCATGTAGAGAAATCCTATAGTTTTAAGAAATAAAACACAAAGTATGTACAGTCAAATTTTTGTTTTGAATTAATAGTTAAAACATCATTATCATGATGAATCATCAGCTACAGACCAATGAGGAAATGTCCTAGACAAAATATTTTTAATGTCCTGACTGTCCAGTTGTATCCAAAGGCTTTGAAAAATTTCCAGTTCACTGCAGGGCTATCCATAGTCATTTGTAAAAATTACCGGTGTCCAAGGTCTGTGATAATCGGACTGATTTTTTCTAACATGCTTTCAGCAGTGGCATATCTAAGAAAATGAGACGAATGGAGAAATAAACTAACTTTATTTACATCCCAGATGCAAACATAAATAGCCATTTGCTTGTCAATAAAATGTCTTCAATGAGGGCTTCATATTTTGGCACATACATTGGGAGCTTGGCTGAAAAGTTGCAGAACTGGACACCTAAGATAGGTGATAAAGCTGAAGTCTCATCAGATGATTGACATTTGTTTAATATTTTCATCCTGAATACTTGATATCAATAGTTCCAGCAGAGTGAAGCAGTAATGATTTGTTCAACTTTGTGTTGGGCATTATTTTATTGAGCCTTGATCCTGAATAGTGAAACAAAAATAAAATGTGAAAAAAAAATATACCGGTACATTATATGTATATTATGTTCATAATTTACAATAAGGCATACATCACATAGACTATATTATAGCCGTACTAAACTACAGTAATATAGAGTCAGAAGAGATGCGAAGATATGCATATGAAACAGCACTGTCAGGATTTTCCGCAGGGGAATGCATCATTGACCCCCCCCCTCCCCTTTTTTAAAGTATCCAAGCCAAGGGAAAACCCCCACCCCACACACACAAAAAAAAACCCAAAAACACCTATCCTTATGAATAATAGTATGTAATACCGTCAAATCTACCCAGAGCACGGGAATGCATAAAACAAATAAGGACTATAACTAAGGACTAAGTAACTATATACAGTTATGTTAGGCTCACTGAATCGATGTATCAAATCCAATCAAATAGTTTTAGTTTAACTTTTAAAGTTTTAATTTTAAATGAATTTCCGAAGTCAGCCGTTAACTAGCTAACTAATCTACGCAAAAATAACACCACAAAATAACTTGATCATATTAGCCTATTTAAAATTAGAAGGCCTACTCCATAATGAAGGGTAAAGTGAACTTCGTCTTTAAAAAAAGTTTAAAGTTTTAAAGGCTGCCTAGCACTAATAAAAAAATACATGTAGCCCACATTCATACAGTAAAACAGTTAAAAATCAACTCATGAAGACTACCACATAGCAAAGTACGCTAGCTAAGCTTAGTCAGTTTAGACAGCGCCTGGACGAGTAGTTCCCTAATTTTAATAGTTACCTCACAATTGAAAACTAGGTTCAAATAATTATTTACTATATTTTACACTTTACTTACCCAAACAGTCAAACATCTCTTGATCGGCGATGTGAACAGAAATTAAATATTTCTGGTCTATCGAAGTTGTACGGTATTAGAACGCTTGCGAAGTTAAATTAAGGGGAAACCACTAGCATTTCGCAAAGTTCTTTTGATAACAGAAAGGCTAAAAATAGATTGTGGATTAACATCAATTTTTCATGGAATCCAAAGCCAAATGTATTTTATTTTTTACAAATTAAAAAAATTTCAGACTATCCGGAAAATTTCCTTACTAGCAGGCCCATTTTCCCTGTTTTCACGAACGGGAAAATTATTCAAAAAATTCTCTACTATTCCCTGTTTTCCCCACTGATAGTGATAGCTTACTCGTTAAGAGTAATTTGATTGGCTTAAACAAATCTACCGACCAATGAACTTATTTCTTTCTTGCAGGGTTACGGATCATTCAGAAATATGCGCATGTCAGTAATATTGGAAACATTTTTCCTTTCATTTTTTTTTTCACCAGTTTTTTCCTTTCGAATTTTAAAAAATCATTTTCCCAAACTGTCAAAGACCGTGACGTTTTTTGCCAATTTTCCCAAACTTTCCGGGCCCTGGAGATTTTTATTTATTTTTCCCAAACCTTCAAAGACTGTGTGAACCCTGTGAATGACATCAATATATTTCATCAAAATATATTATAAAATAGATTTTTTACAAATTTTTGTCTAAACTTAACAGTAACTGTGGAGTTGCTTCCTTAGGTCTGTGATTTGAATTACCAGTAATAAAATTTCTGAGATTGAATGGGTTAAAGATCACCTCCCCACATCCACCAAGTCAAACATAGCATTCACAAATCAATGTACATATTTTACTTACCAGGTAAACAAGTTAAACACTCCAGGTAAACATGGTATACCCTCTAAATTACCCTACAATTAAGCAATGTCCCCTAAAGTATCCTTAAGAACATTACCTTGGCAAATGACTGTAAATATTCTGGCAGGACTGAAAGTTCTGGTTCTATTTCAATAGCCTTGAGTAAATTGGGACATATGTATGTTCCCCACATGTCGGCCACATACTCTTCCCCTCGTATCTTGGCACACTCCAAGAGGTAAGGAAGACTCTCCGTGGCAGCTATTCTTACACCTGGTAACACTTAGTGAAGGTTTTTAACTTAAACAGCAATTCAACATCTGAACATTTTTTAATTTAGGTCAACATCAGCTATTACCACTGTTGTATTTTAAACTTTTTTCCATCTTCTTGTTTCGTGGCATTCAAATATTGTCTCAGTACATGTAAATGATGAGTATTGAAGAGAGCATAAAAACATTTACAGGACAAACAAAAACAGGTGAGACATGCGTCGTGCATGGACTGGTGATTTCAAACAAGGATACTGTCATTGAAGTAAAACTTGAGTAGCGGTACCATAATCTTGACAACATCTTCAGTGTAAGGGGCAAAACCTTCCTTGAGTTCGCGGGCATAACACACCAACATCTGACATGCTGTGGCCTTCTCTTCAAGCCCGGCAGTGCATATACCAAAGCTTTGCTAAGAAGTTTAAAGAATGCACATTGTAATGGTCTGTTTCAAACAATTTATTTAATCATTGTAATCTGGTCTAATTCAGAACCAGACTATGTGGTCTTTTTCTAATATCCTTAGCAAAGTTCTATAACAAGGAACTGATACTTAAAAAAGAGAATTTATACACTTACTTTTTAAAAAATAGCTCTGTTGGTCTAATTTTGATAGTTAAATTTAATCAAATTTAGCTTGTTTCATTAAATGAAATTACGCAGGTCAATTTTATTGCGAAACCAAAGGCAACACTGATTAACCTACATCCTCATTAGGCTAATTATAAAATCTAAGCAGTCTGGTGTTGAAGAATAAAAACAAACTTTTACCTGGTCACCCAAAGTGACAAATTGCCAGTCAGAACTATTCTCCATTTCCTTCATGTCTTCACCTGTAAATAAAAATTAATCTTTTTAGTCCTTTGCTTTTCATCTTTTAAGTAGAAATTCTTAACAAATGGCATAAAGTGAGTTCAATTTTTAGTTTGACCAAATAACACTTACTGTCTACTAAAGCCACCTCTGGTTTCAGTGAAGCAGCTTTCAGCACAGGACCCATGACAAGAGGAAGATATTGCTCGAACTCTTTGCCTAATATTTTACACATTCTTGCCCAAGCTGATATCATGTAAGTAATCTGAAAAAGGAAAATCCACACGGTAAAACATGTTTTGTTTCAAAAAGATTTTGCACATTTGATACTTTATTTTAATCAATAAGTTGATTCAGAAGTAAGGAAGTGACCAGCACTGCATTGGTCACAGGCTTACCACTTCCTTCAGATTTTGTAAAATATTTATTTTACTTAATTTAAGTTTTAAAAAATTGTTTGTCAATAATTTCTGCTCAAGTTGAAGTCAACCAATTCTTTGAGGTGCATTTGTCAGTTTTACGCAGTGACAACTATTGTAAGGGGTTTAAATACACAAATGAAAATAAGAAAAGACTTTTTCTGGCACTGATATGTAGAAGTGTATTGTAGATAGCTTGTTATTAAGAAATTTAACATTGCATATCCCAGTAACGCTGACTTTAAGAGGGTAGGCCAAGGAACAGGTCACTTTATAAGCCAGCAAAGCCATGCCGCCACTAGGGTTGGCGGAAGAAACATGTCACTAGGTCAAACCTAAAATAGAGAACGTTTGATACCAAGTATTTAGTTATCAAGACTGTTATACCTGAGGATCATCATCAGCCAGGTCATCTTCATCTGTCTGTGTTTTCAATAAAAGCTGCATCACTTCATTACAGTCCTGCATAAATTTCTCTTTCCCCACGGCAAGTCCTATCAAACTGATGCACTCGATGGTCTTGCCTCGTAGCAAGCGGTGTTCTTTGCTTTGTACTTGCTGCATAATAAATTTCAGACATGGCATGAATCTGCAATTTTAAAAAAAAAAGTTAGCAGAGTTAAATGAGTTGAACTTTTGAGTTAAACATCTTTAAAAAAGAAGCCAGGTTCACTTCAGCTAATTCCAAGCAGTTTAAATAACATTTGAGATAAATCCCTGACCTGTCGTAGTACTGTAAGAATTTATCTTGAGCTGTATCTGCAACTGAAGCCAGTGTTGTAATCACCTGCTCCAAAACTAACTTGTTCCCTTTCTGAAGATGCTGCAATGTTTTAGACACAATTAGAACAGATGTTCTCTATTTTATGTGCAACAATAAATTGTCACACATGGTCACTATAATGTTAAACAAAGTTACTATAATCTTAAAAACAAAGTTTATGTCAAAGAAAGACCCTTCCCCAAAGATATTTCTCCCGTAGAATCAGGGTATTACTGTACCCGACCATAGATAATAACCTATAACGGGATTCCCAAAACGTTCTCACTGCTGGCGCCCTGGGGAGCTGCCGCATCCTCACGGGACGGCGCAAAATTTTACCCCATTTTCATTATTTAATTTCATTGCGATAGAACATGACATTTGGCTGCCCAGGTCCTGAAACTCACTTGTATAATAAATGTTGGCACAAGTTACTCCCCATGCTTTTTGGCTTCATTCATTTTTACAACACATTATTATAAACAAAAAAAATCTTTATTTTGCAGGGTGTCAGATAGATTTTTCATAGGGTCCTCAGGAGAACCTGGCTTTACCAAGGGTGCTGAGACTCAAGAAATGTTAGGAACTGCTGACCTATTATGTTAATTGAATTCCTAAGGGACCGATTAGACCCACCTCTGAGAATTTTTGAGTGAGCACTTGTTCCAGTTTGAGTATGATCAGATCCAAGTACTGCACCAGGATGTGTTTGGGGCATTCCTCGCTGAAATTAACCAGTGCAGCTGCACCGTGGGCCTGAACACGGGGGTTTGCCTCATCGTCCAGGATGCTGACTAAAGCTGGTACAATCTGAAAATACAGTCATTTTTTCAAAAGGAAAGGTCAATTCTTAGTTGTCAATTTATAAATAAAATTTGTCAATAATAAAATAGAGAACATCATATAAATTTCAGCTACACACTAAACATGCACCAGATGAATTTTTAAATTTAAAATCAGTATTTGTCAGGTATTATTTATGTAAAAATTCTTATCTGACAATACCTTATTGTGGAATTTCTTTTGACAGTTGGGTCCAAAATCAGTGCAGAGCTGTCCTAGGGCATTGCAGGCAGCATAGCGAACTCGTGGATGCTGAAGAATTGAAAAGTACAGATTTTTTTTTAGGATTGCAGAAGGTAGTGAAAATTCTAATTTTACCCCGCTTACCCTGGTAATTTAAATGTGCAGCTTCAATGTGTTTACACTTGGGGATTTTATTCTTCAGTTTGCTATTTTGAAACAAGCCCTTATCCAAAATAACTTACTGGATCTATAGCGAAGGGCAGGACAGCATCAACAATGTTGGTAAGCATTTGTTCCATATGTATATGACAGCCCTCCCCACAGGCAGACACAGCCATTAAACCAGCATATCGGTACTTCCAGTCAGCTAAAACACAATCCTTGGGTTACAACTATGTCTAAAAAATAACTTAAAAGCATTGCTTTACATCAAAGAGAAATGAGTCAATGAGCAGTTTTTAAATAATATTAAAATTAAGAGGCGGCTGGCATATGAATATATTTATGGTTAAAGAATTATAAAACCTATTTTTTTAAATTATTGATATTCTTATCTTACCATGCTGTAACATTTGAGATATATTAGACACTATATGTGGCAACATAGTCTTTCCCCCCAGAGCACAGGCCAGTCTGTCTAATGCAGCTTCACCAGCTATTGGGTTCCTGAGATGAGTCAGTGAAAGATTCATGCATTCAATCAAACTTGCAGGATTATAAAAATACAAAATAATTCAAAGGATAGTTTTAAAAGTTTTACCATAAAAAAATAACTTCTTGCATGTGCCAGACTGAATAGAGATAAGTAAAAAATGACTTCTTGCATGTGCCAGACTGAATAGAGATAATTAAAAATGACTTCTTGCATGTGCCCGACTGAACAGAGATAATTAAAAATGACTTCTTGCATGTGTCCGACTGAATAGAGATAATTAAAAATGACTTCTTGCATGTGTCAGACTGAATAGAGATAATTAAAAATGGACTTCTTGCATGTGTCAGACTGAATAGAGATAATTAAAATGGACTTCTTGCATGAATAGAGATAATTCTATATGTTAAACCCTATAACATCAAAAATCCTAATTCTATGGGTTAAAAAAATATAGTACACAATCAGATAACATTTTGGAATTTCAGGGCCAAGTTAAAAATGCACTGACTGGTTAAATAATAGCTAACAATTTTTTTGTAGACTTATTTGCCTGTCATAAACGGTGAACATACAAAGCAGTAGCATCACAGAATAACTTATGCAAGTGAATGTGTCCGGGCAGTGACTGAAAGCAGTAGCATCACAGAATAACTTATGCAAGTGAACGTGTCCGGGCAGTGACTGAAAGCAGTAGCGTCACAGAATAACTTAAGTAAGTGAACGTGTCCGGGCAGTGACTGAAAGCAGTAGCATCACAGAATAACTTATGCAAGTGAACGTGTCCAGTCAGCGACTGAAAGCCTGGTCAATCAGTGAGATAAATAATGGACGTACGAGTCAGTGTCTTCATCATCTTCAATGTCTTGAAGTGACCAGTCTGGATCATCTTCCAAGTCGACCATCAGAGCCAATACTTGTTGCACTGCAGTAATAAAAATAAAAGTTTAATTGAAACAGGCCGTTCTCATGCAATTTCTCTGGATATCAATAGAGAATCAAATTATACTAATCTATGATAATGTCTGATGAGGATGCATTAAAATTTGTTGCTAGAAGAAAGTTATTATTATTTAGACAACAAATCCTTCACAACAATCTTTAATTATTTTCTATGAACCAGACCGAATGTGATGCCCATTTTACCTATGGTTTACCTTAACCTGTGTGAAACTCTTAACACAGTGGTTCTTAACCTGGGTTCGATCGAACCCCAGGGGTTCGGAGAGTCAGTCTCAGGGGTTTGACGGAGGTCCAACAAAAATCAGAAAAAAAAATTATTATTTTTCCTATAAAGAAGGGTTCGGTGAATGTGCATATGAAACTGGTGGGGTTCGGTACCTCCAAAAAGGTTAAGAACCACTGTCTTAACAATATCTCACCAGTAATAAACATTCAATTCATCTACATTTATAAAGAATTAAAAAAATATAAACTTACCGAGCAGGGGAATAAACTTTGCAAACTTTCTCACCATTGCAGGGGCTGTTTCTGACATTGTCACAATAACCTCAAGTGCCAGCTGTCTCCATGTATCATCCAGGTTGGCATCTGAAACAACCTAACAAAACAAAGAAATTATAATATCAGGCACTGAACACACTGACCAAACATCAGTCAACTGTATGTATGGGATGTAGCTTTGTCTTACATGACATATTGGATGTGGCTTTGTCTTACAGGATGCATTGGACGTGGCTTTGTCTAACAGGATTGGCTTTGTCTAACAGGATGTATTGGATGTCGCTTTGTCTCACATGATGTATTGGATTTGGCTTTTGTCTCACATGATGTATTGGATGTGGCTTTGATGTACTAGATGTCCTGGGTGTGGCTTTGATGTACTAGATGTGCTGGGTGTGGCTTTGATGTACTAGATGTGCTGGGTGTGCCTTTAACGTACTAGATGTGCTGGGTGTGCCTTTGACGTACTAGATGTGCAGGGTGTGCCTTTGACTTACAATAAGAGACTCATCATAATGGAGTCTTTCATATGATATTGAAAACTTTTTTAGACTAGAAAAAAAAAATAATTGCATAACAGATGATTAACATAACGAATGGATTATTTACCTTAAAATTGACTGCCAATTATTGACTATAACAAAAGTTAGTAAATGTATTATGCATCTTTTAAGATTGCTTCATTTCTCATGTTCCTGGTAAACCACCGATATATTGGTGGAAAATAATTAACCATCCAAATTAATAAAACTGGTTACAATTTAACAAACTGGGAAAAAAATAAAATTGTTTATTTTATTTAATATTTATTGTTTACGTCTAGGCCTTGACACTTTTGTGTTTATTGGCAGTTGTGTGGATTAGTTTCAGAAAAAGAAAAGTACCGGTACTGGAAAAGTTTAATATCAATATGGAACTTGGAAAGTCTTAATTACAATTTCCTAGTCTAAGTGGGACCAACTTGATATTATTGGATTAGATTTAGAAGTTAAAGAAATAAACAAACCCGCAGACATAATTCAATTACAGTCTCCAGCTGACTCCTTAAGAATTTTGGCACATTTTCAGACAGTTCAATAAGGCATTTAAGTAAGCTATCATCTTCTTGGGCGCTGATGCTGTCTGCTATGCCCTATAGGATAAAAAATAAATTCTTTATGGCTAAATGGTCAGACTAATTATTAACAGACAGTTTAAGTACAGATTCAAAAGCTATGAAAAGAATATCAATGAAATGTAATCTGATTCCTTCCCCACTCTGACCGATAAACCATGCTGCTGGGTGCCATCCATGCCTTGGCATGTCAAAGTTTTGGGGTGGGTGGGGTGAACATACATTTGTTTTTTATACAGCTGTTTTATAATTAAATAAATGTATGTTATTTTTTAATGTCATGATTATGTTTACTATTATTTTTATGTGCAGCGCGTTGAGCCCAGCCCTAGGCTCAGGTACTGCGCTATATAAGACCACTGTAATAATAATAACTAGATAAGTTTTATCATGTCCTTAGAGAATGACTGATTATAAAACCTGTCATTTCTCAATGAAACTTTTATTAATAAAAATAGCTAAAAAGTTTCTTTCCAAAAACAAATTAAGCGATTAAATTTAAATGACAAAAACCTGAAAGAACAACAAAAAAATATTTGAATTCATTAAAAAATGGTATTAAAAAGCTAATGAAAAGATATTTGGTCTATGTATAAAAATATACTGAAGAAACAAACCTGAATGAGCAATGGCAAGAGGTCCTTAAAATGGTTCAGAATTCCAAGTTCTTTATCATTGTTGACAACAAATGCAGTGGTAGCCTTCACAGCCTCAAAGCAAACCTGTATGAGTCATTGAAGTTGGTAATATTACAAGCGTTTTAACCAAGTTACCTCAAAGGACCTTTGACCATGAGTTCCATGGAGTTACAGAGTGGACCTTTAACATTGAGATCAAAGTGTGATCCTATATCTTAATCATTCTGTAAGCTATCAAAATCAATGCACAATTAATATTTCACCATACATTAATTGATACATCAAGGATCAATAACTGAGCAACTCCAATTGACCCCGTCAAGGAACGTTTTCAAAATAAATGTAATTATAGTTGAAATGGGTTTTTCTGACTAGTGTTTGAATAGAGACAGACTAACCTACTGGTTATTTGTTCTTTTTAGCTGAAAGCCATTCCATACATTTAAATATTATTATTATTATTATAATATTTTGATTAATGATTTACTTCCTCACATACTCAAAGAAGATAAAGCATAGAATGAATGACTTAATTCCTCAGATACTCCATAACTAGATGAGGATAAGCATAGAATAAATGTCTTACTTCCTCACATACTCAAAGATGAGGTAAAGCATAGAATGAATGAATTACTTCCTCACATAAGCCAAGATGAGGTAAAGTATAGAACAAATGACTTACAACTTCAAGAGGAGATTAGGCATAGAAATATACGCCAAGTACCAGGACAGCAGAAATGTGTATAATAAAGATAATTGACACTGTCAACTGACACGTTTGAGCATTCTACGCTATTTTGAATGTAAGTATATTCTCTTTTTTAGTATGACCTGTTCCTTGCAAATGTTTATTTCAGTCATACACCCTAAATTCATTATTTTGTACAGTTTTACTTGTGGTGTTCTGCATGATTTTCAAAAAGACTAGGATTGTGCCACCAGTGAACAAAAAATTTGCAGGCCTCTGCTTTAGGCCATCCAGGCTGCTTATTCATGGGAAAGAAGGAAAAGTTTGAACTAATAACCTCATCTGCAGATAATCAGGTGTGACATTTAAAAATCACCCCTCCACGTTTACTGAATAATGCAAAAAACAACCAACACAATACCGCCCTGACACACACTAATGTGATGTAAGAGGAAAAAATGAGGCTGTCAAGTTATTTACAAAATTTAATCCCACCAGAACAAAGGACTGTGTACCAATAATGACAGACTCACTGAGGGGTTTGTTCTGTCCATAAGAGCTGCCCCCAACATTTGTTTGATAACCTCCAGGTACTGGTTTTGTTGATTTCCAAAAATACCAGGCACTGCACTGAAATGAAAATGAAGATATTAAACTGAAAGCTAACTATAAGTTATCAATCTCACAAATTAATAAAGAACTTTATAGATTTATAATTAATCAACTAATAAATTAGTTAAAATCTATTTCATCTAAGATGGATCAATAGAAACTAACAGATTTTTTAAGACATGAAAACTTACGCTAGTATATGCAAAGCACTTTCCTTGAGCACCGGGTTCTCTGAACTTGCACATTCAAACAAAAATTTCAAGGCTTCCGGCCACTGCATGACATTCTCATCATCTGTAAATGGTATAGGCAACTCATTAAAATTAAAATAGTTAAGTACACAACTGCTGTGAACAATTAATTTTCAACTAAGAAACAAAACCCTTAATTGACCAATGATCTAGGGGCCTATTTAATTACAACCATTATAAATACCTATCATGTTTCTTGCCAATTCAGAGAAAGCATCGCAAATCTTTTTGCGAACGGGCTGAGATGCCTCCTGGTGAATGGCTGTCATGAGTTCTTGTTTGACACCATTCTGAATATCAGGGGAAATTTGGGGCCACAAAGATTCAAAGTTGCTGGTAAATAGTCTTCTGAGCAGAACAGCTGCAAGTGCACGTTGCTGATTGAAAAAATAGTACAGGAAAATAAAAAGCATGTAAAAGAAACATTGTAGCTAACAATTACTAACATAAAATTTTAGACTTATACCTCTCAAGTCCTTATGACGAATAAGGAGGAAAACTATTTTACTTTAATAAAATAATTATCGGTTTAACTTAGGCTAAATGAATGGTATCAAAATAAAAATACAGAAATAATTAAAATGTGCACAATACCTCCAAAGAAGTTTCAATATTTCGTATAGCTTGAATAAGACAAACCAGTTTATCAGGCACTGGAACATTATCATAAGTTTGCTGGGAAGAAACAAAATTATTTCAGATTATTCACTAACAGGTTATGATATCATTTTTTTGTTTGCATGTATCTTTCATAATTCATGGCTGGGATTATCTACAACTGTAAATCACTCAACTGATTTTGTTTTGAGGTTGTTTTTCTTGGGGAGGGGCTCTTGAAGAATGAACAACAAGTAGGCATTGTCATTAAAAAGCCGGTTTTGTTGTTGAAAATATTTTTTTTTCTTTCCATGCCTTGCCATCATCCTGGTTTGGGTACTCAATTTTGTCTTGTTTATTAATTTTTTGTCCAACTTTTCATTTCAGTATCACATACTTTCCATTTTTTAATACACATTTCATTGTGGTTCAGGAGATTGTTAATGTTAAGCAACTTTGGACAAATGACTCATTCATCATTTTTTTTTTTTAAACTTATGCAACCCCCACAACAGATTTGTGAACACCCCCCCACCCCCCATGTGGGACATCATTTATGGAAGGCCCCTAGCCTACAGAAATCCACATTTAAGTAAAAATACCCTAGAAATATGTTCAGAAAACATTGTTGATTCTTTTCAACAAATTTGTCTATCCATAATGATGTCATGCTATTTTGGACTCCATCACCCCTGATATTTGTGAGAGATTGTCACAAAATTTAGACACCCTCTAAATATATTGTCCCAAATCTCCCCCCTCCCCCGATGTCAATTGTGACAGTCATAAGTTAAACCAAAAACGTGGTGATTTACAAAGAGGCAAAAAGCAGAAAAATAAGGAAATGTATGACAATAGGGAAATGACAGCAAGAACAAACATTTGAAGACCACAAGGGAAAAAACGGCAGAGTCACATTTTTGTTGTTTTGAGATATTCGATTTTTAAAGTTCAAAACCATGCACATTAAAAATGTGTAAACAAAATGTAATTTTTAAAATGCATTTCACAAGAGTGTCCATTTCCCTGAGATATTAAATAGATAAATTAATTTAAAATTGAATGTAACATGATTTATTTCATTATAGTAGAGAGTGGGGTCAAAATGGACTATGCCGTTTTTTCCCTTGTAGTAATTTATCACGGTTTGATCATTGCTAAATATCTATTTAAAACTATTTTATAAGTAAATTTTCACATTTAGGGGTCACTGGCAAATTACGTCACGCTATGAAGGGGTGGGTTGAGAATATGCGACCATTTTTGGGAGTGGGAAAAGGGGGGGGGGGGTCAAAAATTGTGACGTCACTTTTTTTTCATCTCTAAAAGTTTCTAATCCTTAAAAAAAAATCATAATTTAATTGATTTTTAAAACATTAATTTGAGGTCAACTTTGTCTCCGGTATTATAGTATGGTACCATGAAACTCGATTTTCTAGTAATACTGCATCTTATCATTATGGCAGTGGTTCTCAACCTTTCTAATGCCGCGACCCTTGAGTGCAGTTCCTCATGTTGTGGCGACCCCCCCCCCCATAAAACTATTTTCGTTAGTACTTCATAACTGTAGAGGATATGCATTTGCCGATTGTCTTATGTGACACCTTTAAAAGAGTCATTCGACCCATAAAGGGGTCGCCACCCACAGATTTAGAATTGCTGCATTATGGGAAAATGTTGAAGAATAAAATAATATCTTAGTTTAGTTATGAAAATTGTATGTATGTTTTGAGTTTTTTTAGGGGATGTGACAAACAGGGGGGGGGGAGGGGAAATTTGTGACATTTCGTGACAAGGGGAGGGGGTGTCTAAAAAGTTTATTTTTAACGTGATGTAATTTACGAATGACCCTTGCCTTAGGCAAATTATTTATGTTTAAACGATTAATATAAGAATATCTATCATGCCTATAACTATCATTAAAAAAATATATTATTTAGAATTTAACCTGAAAATCAGATTTAAAATCATACTTTCTAAGTTTCTGATGTGCTTCTTACAATTTTGGCCCAAATTTAGTTGTTTTTTTCCTCTAGCAGTAACTGTAACTGTATGAACTTAAGTTTAAGAGTAAAGTAAAGTCAGTAAAGAGTAACAGACCGAGATAGCAAGACAGACACTCGAAGATAAAGAGTTCAGGGGGAGTCAGACACCGAGTTAGAGCGAAAGGGAGAGAGATATACAAACTAACTGAGATAGACTGACAAGGAGAGACACAGACATGCAACAAACAGTGATAGACTAGACTTGACTAGAGCGACAGCGAAAGAGACGAGACGGATACACACATTAATTAACTGAACATAACAAAACAAGGGTAAAATGCGATTTAAAAATACAAATTTTATTTTTTTTTAATGTTTTAAGTCCAATTTATCGTGCTTATGTTAATTTGTTTTGTTTTCTTGTGGTAGGAATTTTAAAAAATTCAGGTCTGTCTGTTAACTTTTTCGTCGGTTTGTCGGTCAGCTGAGTGAATCAGTCGCCATCTTTAAATTTTGTTTACATTATAGCTATCTCTCATTGGACCTTTAAATCACGTGACTTCAAATGTCACGTGATATTAGTGACTTAGCCCCCTATTCCATTGTAAACATTGGACTATGCTTCTTTTTCCATTGTAAACGGATTTTTCGTTTCCATTTTTCTTATGGACTTAGCCATTTTTTCTCCTTTAAACTTAATTCAGCACCTTCTATTTTTAACTGGCTATAAGTCAGGGGTGATAACTCAAAAAAATTAAAAATGGACTCTGTCGTTTTTTCCCTTGACGTCTTCATTTGTAATAAACTCTTCTCTATTATATAAAATCACTAATCATTTTACTCAGTGCAAATCAAAGTCAAGTTAGGTGTCAGCTAATCAGTCAGGACTCCTATAAAAAGTAGAGTTGACTTACCACAGACAACTAAAACTGGGGTGACCAATGGAAAAAAAACGGGACGCTTTCATGGACGGTTGTTTTTTGGGCGCGGGGGGGAGGGGTGCATGTGTGTGTGTGTGACCCTCCAGATGAAGAGGGGGTCCGGGGACCTCCGACAGAAACTCTTTATTGAAATATGCTCATTTTAACTATGAGATCTAACCTAGAAATCTACTTGGGTCAATCAGTCTTTTCCTATATTTCACTGATGTGATGTGTTGTTTTATTTCTGAACGTCCACCATGACCAATACTAAAAAATAGGGGTGTGCCGGAATCCAGTCCGGAATCCGCTTCCGACGGATTTTGCACCATCCAGTGAAATCCGGTTCCGCCGGATTTACATGTATCCGGAACAACCGGAATCCGGAATATACCGGATTTCGGAATTTGCCAGATTTTGTGACTCACCGTAAATAAAAGTAATTCTCTTTCCCGAATTCCACACGATCACGATACATTAATCGATTGTTTCGAGCGTTGAGCTTGTTTAATGTTTAATATTCCGAACATACAGAGGCTAGAGTCAACACCGCTAATAGTGGCCAATCGGCCCAATCCCATACATCATAGTGCTAGGACGAGTCATTATTATTCGTGACGTCATCTTAACCGCAATCACCAATGACGTTGTAACAGAAATAATAAGCAACTATACTGCCCAAGCGCCTGGCCGCCAGCCCGCCACCTTACCGAGCACGGCAGACGACCATCAAATTGCGTCAAGCCAGCAGGCCTGTGCTGACCTAGCCTAACTATGAATACTTTTAGGGACACACACTGATTGACCTGACGTCAGTCTGCTTAGCAATTAGTCATTGGTGCAGAGATATAGATTACCCGTACTGCCCTGCGGAGCTGTCTCCTCACCAAGCATAATAATAACAACAACAACATAGAAACTTATTATGCGCCAAATTACAGTGAAACAATTAAGTGATCTCCAACGAGGTATACATTTATACTAGAGTGCTCGTGTAAACAAAAAAATTGATAGCGCAAGCATTGCGCTATCTCTGATTGGCTGGTCGGTTACCACTTGATTACCTAACACGATAGAAATTTATCTCAGTTTTTAAAATTTACCGTAATATTTACCGTAATTTTAATTCATATTTTGATTTATATTATCGTTCACTCAATTGTTAAAAATGCATATCATTTTTGAGTAAAAATTAACATTACGTTAGCGGTTTCTATTTCCTAATTTATTTCAAAGTTCTTCACTTCCAACTTCCAATCAGCCAATGTCATTTAGCCATTTAGGCCAGCTGTTCAGAAGGCATCCAACCCCTCAGATTTACCGGTATCTGCAAAGTACCAAAATCCGGGAGAAACCGGAATCCGGATCCGGCGGTTTCTCCCGGATTCCGGATTTTGGTACTATTGGTAGATACTTCGGTAAGTCAAGGTGGACTACTACTTTTTGTGTATGGGAATTCGCAATCGGCGCCAAAAAATCCGAGTTTTTAATTTTCCGATGTGTGTGTCTATTTATTATTAAATTAGTACTTTCGATATATATTTGAGTTCCGTTCCATTTGGATAAGTGTGTTACGAGAGACGCCATGTTTCTACGCGTTCGCAGCAGGTTATGCAGCTCGCTCAACCTAATTTCGCCATGGGGTTGGCCACGCCCCCCTTTTTAATGGCGGAAGTTGACGATACTTAGGAAATATTAATTTATTATCACTATTTACATCAAAATAATTGATAACTTGTGTTTCAGAATGCATTTAAAGACATTTAAACTGGAATGTTTTAATTTGAGCTTTAACAACCCGGTAGAATCCATATTATAAATGATCAGAATTTACCGTGTGCAACACGTTGTCATTGGCAACCATTCACAGCCACTTGCATAACTGTATCGTAGTACTACCTCAGAGTTTCATTCATAAGAGTTTGCCGTGTGCAAAAACTATTAAACCATTGGTCAGGGAAAGCTTTAATTAATTATTCATGTGCCAAAGTTGAAAGTTTAAACTAAGTCTAAACAGTATTTTAGTGATAAGGCAGGGAATGCGTTGCCTTATATAAACTATATAGTCATTGCGCATGACGGGATTGGCGGAATGAGATCACAGAATGTGGAGATGCAGTCCATGTTAAAAAATGACAAACCAAGTCGTACTTTAAAAATTCATAACTTTAAAACTACA